TAGAAAGTTATAAATAATTTTTTGGTGCCACAAAAGAAATAGCACTCGAACATACATTTAATTTTCTCAGCAAGGCAATTTTACTTCTATAGAAGGGTGTGACTCACGATGGAGCAATGAATGGCAAGAGCACACCTGAACAAGGGAGGGGAAGGGTTTTTTATTCATGATGTAGGTAGCCCCTACTGCCGTGTCCCCTATTGGCTAGGGTTGGACCACACAGTCTAAGCTAATTCTGAATGGCTGTTTTAAAGAGAGCAGGGGTATGAACTGGAGTGGTGGGGTGAATAGTTTGGCAGGAAGGGCGGTTACAGAACAGGTGACTCAGGATGACTCAGGACAGAGCAGGTGACCAGGGGTGACTCAGGACAGAGCAAGTGACCAGGGGAACAGATATGAACTACTGATTAGAACTGGTGGAAAAGGTTGTTTATTGAAACTAGGGGCAAGGAGAACGAGGAAGTTAAACTTTAAAATGGAGAACAAAGAACTGAACATACTGACCTAATGATTCTTTGAAGAGAAATTTAGAATTCATTATATTCAACAACTCCATCCTCTTGAATTTTACAGTTCTTTCTCTTCAAACCTCCCTAACATGTCTTGTCTTAGTTGTTCTGCTTGATTCTCTAAAAGAAGAAGCTTCTCTGAATAAGGTGGAGGAGAGTTAAGGGAGGTTTTAGTAAGTGCTATCTCTATGAGTCTCTGCACCAGCCCATGGATGCATGGTACGACACAACACCCAACAAGAATGAGTACACCTATTACAGCTGCAAGAGGAGTAAGAATTGAGGCTATGATTTCTTTCCATTTACTGAACCACCTTTCTAGCCACCCTGAGAAAGTGTTATTTATTTCTGAGTTTTTGGCTAATTCATTGGATAGAACGGTTAGACTTTGCAATGCCTTGGTTATACTTCTATCAGGGGTGGTATTGTTTGGGATGAAGGTACAATACTGAGTTTTAATCATGATGCAAACTCCTACTCTTTCTGCTAATATCATGGCTAAGGTTATTCTATTTTCCCAGGCCATCTGGCTAGTAGCCCCTAATTGCTCAGCTATTCCTTTAACAGCATCTCTAGTGTAGTTAATAAACCGCTGTTGGTTGTAATAAGTGTAATTTATCCAATCTACATTCTTATTGTCACCCACCAAAATATTGACTCAAATCCTGCAGATATTTGATCTTGGGCTTTAAATTTATCTAGTGTTCCTCATGGGACTCTAGTTGAATCTAAATAAACATGAGGGTTGAAAGACCCTTAAAGGGCTTCCCTTGTTTTACGATGTTGTATTTTCCCTCTCTCTGGTTGATGAAATGCCAAGGTGAAAGGGATAGCCAGTTGGACTAGAGCACAAGTGCTGCTCCAGTTACTTGGCAGAGTGTCCAGTAAAGGCCCACCACAATACTGGCACACATCTGCTCGGTGATGAACAAGGGCTGACTGGTAAGCTCCTGAAAAGTCTTAAGCTCAGTGCATCCTTTCAGGTCTCCAAGGAATGCTAAGTTCCCTCCTTGTCATGAGAGACACGAAATGAACTTAGTGTCAGGAGATGGAGGTTGGATGGCCCTCGTGGGCTGACCCACAGGGTGTCAAACTTTGGGATATAGCAGAGAGACAGCTTGGCATGACTTGTTACCCCAGGCGGTGGGATCCTGGAAAAGAGCTACTGTATAGCCCATGCCTGGTCGACTAGAGGACCATCCTAGTGGTAAGGGGACAATCTGGACCCCTGGCCTGCTGTGAGCACAGGCCTAATAATTGCTTTGTTTAGCGTGCGAACAGAATATTGGATCCATTCCAACCAGGCATTTGCATCTCAATATCCTGTCTCTATTGCTAAAGTTTATTTTAAATCATTTACTTCCTCAACATCTACTTTGGTCCTATCACTGCGTATATAACGAGAGAAGGTTTGGTTAGTGGAGAACTTAGGGGAGGGAGAAGGCGGTGCAGGAGGTGAGGAGGCAATGAAGCACATTTCTAAGGATCTTATGGGATCCTTCTCTGAGATTTCTGTTCCTATAGCATAGAAACAGCTTAATGAAGGGGAAGACCTCTGGGGAGAAGAGATGGTAACCTGTACTGGATTACACTGGTTCAGCTGACAATGGGGAGGGGTAACTCCTTTAGTAAAACAAATATATGGTTTCAAGAAGCTGCAAGTACTAGTTGGGGCGGTCCATCCTTGCTCTTTAGTATTTTGTAGAGCATTGGACCAACTTCGTCAGAGAACTTCTGCTCTAGGAGGACAAGATTCCCAGTTTATACTGGAATCTTCATCAAACTCTACCCAAACTAACTTATCCCAGTTAACAGACTTCTAGTCTGAGGAGAGCTAGGAAGGATAAAAATACTTTTCTGAGGTGGTGAGTTGCCTCTGGTTTGGCAAATCTCCACAGGGTATCACAAGGCAAGCATCAAAAGTAATAGTTTGGGGTGAACTTGACCTAGTTACATTAATAACGAGAGGACTAGCAATAGAAGGGGAAAAGAAAGAGATGCAATATAAGAAGATCAAACCCGTTTTAGCTGTAGCTTGGTTGGAATTGGCCCTGGAATAGCTATCCATGATTTTGGAGGGGTGCTCTTTTGACCCAGGTGTGATGAGTCACTTATTCGAACTGTGATCTCGGTGGTTAGAAGCACTAGGTAGAGTCCTTCCCAAGCCAGTTTGAGTTTTCCTTCCACCCAACATTCGACGAGGTTGTGGTGAAGGGTGCAACTCGTGGGTGGAGCAATGGTGAGAGCCCACCTGAACAAGGGAGGGGAAAGGGGTTTTTATTCTGACACAGGTAGCCCCTACTGCTGTGTCATTCCCTTATTGGCTAGGGTTGGACGACACAGTGTAAGCTAATTCCGAGTGGCTATTTTAAAGACAGCAGGGATACGAGCTGGAGTGGTGGGGTGAGTAGTTTGGCGGGAAGGGCGGTTACAGAACAGGTGACTCAGGATGACTCAGGTCAGAGCAGGTGACCAGGGTGACTCAGGACAGAACAGGAGAACAGAGCTGAACTACTGATTAGAACTGGTGGAAAAGGTTGTTTACTGAAACTAGGGGTGAGGAGAATGAGGAAGTTAAGCTTTAAAATGGAGAACAAAGAACTGAATATACTGACATACTGATTGTTTGAAGAGAAATTTAGAACTCATGGTATTCAACAAGACATATCTCTCATGGAGTTAGATTTGTTCCTATGCATGAGAGCTGGTAGAGAAGTCCACACAAACTGTTCCTTTTGTGTCTATTGTGAAGCCTGGAGTCACCATCAGTCAGCCAGGCAGGCTGTTGGGGAGGAAGGATGGATGTGGTTGGGACCAAGTACAAACTGGAACCTGTGTCACCAATCCCACCTTGACGCCATGGGAATAATGGGCTGTAGGAAAAATACACAGCAGCACCCATACATGTCCTGTACTTGGATAGGCTAGAGATGGCTTTGATGGCAGCTGGAGGAGCTGCAGGTCCATCAACTCGCAGATCAGCAACAGCGCACATCAGCTGCCTCATTCTGATGTCCTGCACTGCCCTTCGGAACCTAAGACATGTGATGCCATTTCACTTCTGCTCTTCAAATCTCAGCATAATGTCTTGTGATCAATGCTAACCTTGAACCAGCCAGGGAAAGAAATTCTGGGTAGGTAGTTCTAGCTTAGCTACAGGACACAGTGCAGAACCACCACACTTACCTTGTGTACACCTCTCACTGAAGATTAGAAATACCAGAGATTTGCTTCTCCAATTCACCTTGCAACTTGAACGTATGCCCTAGGATAAGCCAATCAGATGCTGGGATTTCAATCTGGAGCCACAAGGCAGCAGAGTGTGAATTCTAACTGTTCCTTCAGTGTAGTTCCCACAGACAGCAGAGCATGGTGTACACAGCATGAATCAGAACCATGTAGCTGGTTTTGAATCCCGACTGTAGTTATTCCCTGGGCCTCTGTGACCTTGCACCAGTCTCCTAAGCTCTCTAGGCCTGTCTCTCCATCTTTAAAATGGGCATAAAATGTCCAACATATCATTATGTAGAATGTGAATTGCATAAACTGTATGAGGTTTGAAACTTGGTTGGGTTGTTGCAAAGTATTTTTTTCCTTGAGTCTCTAGGATTCCTGGTAATTCCTTGGGCCACTCCATAGCCTTTTCTCAATGTATTCAATTTTCAGTCATTACTCAGTTTGATTCTGTTACCTAATGAAGGTATAAAGGTTTCCTACTGGAAGTACAGGAAGCATTTCATAGGGTGGGGTCAGGGTGTGGGTTCTCTGTACTGTGTGTCTGTGTTATTGGCAGGACTTTTTCGTCCTTAGGCTGGCTAGCTCCTTCCTGGTGTCATTGATGTGTTAACAGTTGAGGATTTGCCTATAATCCAAGCACCTTAGGAGGCCGAGGCGGAAGGATCCCTTGAGCTCAAGACCAAGCTGGGCAATATAGTGAGACCTCAGCAATACTAAAATTCAAACAAATTAGCCATGCATGGTGGTGCACACCTGTAGTCTCAGCTACTTGAAAGGCTAAGGTGGGAGGATCACTTGAGCTCAAGAAGTCGAGGCTGCAGGGACGCTGGTGGTGGTGCCACTGCACTCCAGCCTGGGTAACAGAGATCCTATCTCAAAAACAAATGAACAAACAGTTGATCTTGCCCCTGCCTCTCCAAAAGGCAAAACAGTAATGCTTTCTGAGGTACCACCTCTAAGATGTTTGCTGTCAACCTTTCTCTCTCCTCCTTTGATCATAAAGGCTCATTTGCTAGAGACTTGAGCATCGTTCATCTTTCCAGATGGCCCAGTAGTTGCAGATGTAGGTTCACTTGGTGATGGGTACCAAAATCTTGTTTATGGGCTGCGTCTTTGGGCTTCACAGTGAGTGAATGTCTAGTCCATGACAATCCCAGGGTGAAATCTTCACCCAGGGTGGCTCTGAGCAGGAAATGGGAACCCACAGGGCAGTTCCTCTCATGAATCAGTAATTTTCTTAAAGATATAGAAGACTGCAGAAAATAACAGCTTTATTACTGCAGATGTGAGAGCATTTACAAAATGCCAAGGAAAACCGTTCCCTGTTTTGAGCCTCTGGAGCCTGAACTTTCACCATGTACCAGGAAAGAATGCCCCTCTTTCGAACTTTCAAACAGTTGGGATTTTTTAAATTTTTTATCATCCCAGTTATTTTCTCAAGTTTGCCTCCATTGGGTCCTGTTCAGAGTTTCTTGGGCTGCTTTTACTAGTCACAGCTCCACTTCTTCTCAGGAAGAGGTGGGCACAAGACACATCTGAGCCCCTTAGTATTGGGATGGCAGCCAGGAAATGATCAAAGGGTAGCATTTAGGAAATCAGCAAACTAAAGCCTCACATCTAAGGTGGACAAATCCATTCTCAACTCAAACAGCAGGTTGGGTAATGCTTTCATGAGAGATACTATTATGTTTTTGTGTACACAGCACACATTTTATTATGTCTACGAACAGATTCAGGAAAGACCTCCAGGCTTTTTCCCCAAATGATTGACATAGTGCAAAACAAAACAAAAAAGAGGAGGGGCACAAATGAATAGCCCACTTAGAAGCTGAATAGAATGGGAAGCCATTTCTTTTCATAAAATCTTTTCGTTTTTGGCCAGGTGTGGTGGCTCATGCCTGTAATCCCAGCACTTTGGGAGGCCGAGGTGGGTGGATCCCCTGAGGTCAGGAGTTTGAGACCAGCCTGACCAACAAGGTGAAACCTCATCTCCACTAAAAATAAATTAGCTGGGCGTGGTGGCAAGCTACTGTAGTCCCAGCTACTCAGGAGGCTGATACCGGAGAATTGCTTGAACCTGGGAGATGGAGGTTGCAGTGAGCTGATATTGTGCCACTGTACTCCACCCTGGGCAATGGAACAAGATTCCATCTCAAAAAAAAAAAATTTAATTTTTATATTAATTTGTATTATGCAGTCCAACATGTCATCTTTTCATAAAATCTTGGTAGAGGTGCACTCCAGGGATGATCTGGCCCTCAGTCAAGGGCTGACTTTTCCTGTAGCTATGCTGACCATAGCAGGTCACTAAAAGCTGATTGTTAATGGAGGAAACAGTGGCTGCTTGTATCCTAGGTCTTCTGATAGAAGCAGCAGTTTCACAGTCACCAAAGGTACTGTTCACAACACACCTCAGCAACACGCGACCAAGATAGCATATGTTTTAGAACTTATCCATTGGAAGGACATATTTAATACAAACCAGAAATTCATCAAGTTACTGGCTACTTACAACATATAAAAGAGGACTGTCCCAATAGAAAGGGCTCACAATCTGAGCTGGCCTTTTACAACGGCAAATAGTATTACAGTAACATTGTAAACAAACAAATATGAAAAAAAAGTAGTATAATATGTAATTATTAAAGACCTCTCTTTTAGGTAAGATTTTCAGAAAATCCAGGGACAGATTTTATGTCACAGAATGGTCCATATCGTCCAAAAATATCTTTTGACTGGACAGTAAAATAGTATCTGTTGGAAGCTAAAAACTGAGATAAAGTACAGGCCATGGGGAGTGGTAAAGCTTTAATTTCTCCAATCTTCTTCCAAATCAATTTATTATTAGAGTTCTCATGACACAGGAAGAGGTGGTAGCTTTCTACAGGAGCGCACTTGGGATTGATTTTGGTTATATTCCAAGTCAGGGCAATGCCATTTGGTCTGAAAACCCGTTTCACTTTGAGCTCAGGCTTCTGGGGAGGAAGTGTGTCTCGGGTTTTGTCTACTAATTCAGGTAGTGGTGCTGGTGGTTCTGGGAGAGGTGGCAGGTGCTCAAAGGACTCAGGAACCTAAAAACACAATTGTAAGAAAGTATAGCTTTTAAAGTGGTCAATTGCAGTTGTAGAAATATATACTTCCCATTCTTCAATCCATTTATCAAAATAATAAAAGGGTATTTCAATAATATGTGAGGCTAGATCCAGTCCTTTAAGCATAATCCTCTTTTGGATTTAAGATTTCTACACCCTGGAATGTCAATAATCCAGAATGGGTTAGGTTCTAGACATGTGGGATAAATATTCCATCTCATTTCCAAATTGCATTCTCAAACACTGTACTAATTTACATGAAAAGTGTCAGCGTGGCTGGGTGCGTTGCCTCACCTGAGGTCAGGAGTTTGAGACCAGCCTGGCCAACATCGCGAAACCCCGTCTCTACTAAAAATACAAAAATTAGCTGGGTGTGGTGGTGCACGCCTGTAATCCCAGCTACTTGGGAGGCTGAGGCAGGGGACTCACTTGAACCCAGGAGGTAGATGTTGCAGTGAGCCATGATCACGCCACTGCACTATAGCCTGGGCGACAGGGCAAGATTCGGTATAGTCTGGGCAAGATGTGGTGTCAAAAAAAAGAAAAAAAGTGTCAGTGTATGAGAACACCCTTTTCCTCCCATCCTCATCAACAATGGCTATTGCTTCTTTTCCAATTTGTTCAATTTAAAAAAAGTATTTGTTTTAACTTCTGTAGCTTCTGTAAAACTCAATTGAATGATTTTAACTGTATACATAAGTAGATTAACAACAGCATATTAAATTGTTTTCTAAGCTGAAATGTGACCCAAATGTCTCTTCAAGAGTAAGATAGGTACTTCCCACTCAATTTGGAATAAATATCCCTTACAGAGCACTCTGAATCAGTACCTGGGCTGCATTTTGTGCCAATGGGGTTGTTTCTTTTGAGTTTGAAACAGCTTTCGAATGTGACTCCAGGGCGGATACTGGACTTTCTGTGAACAACACAAGGTTTAAGAAGTAAATTTTATCTGCAAGAATCAATTTCATAGCCTTTAAGATATAGTTTACATCTTTGGTGATAATTAAATGTGAATTAAAATTATAAAACTGAATTATGAAGATACACTTTTAGTTAAAGTTCAAGATACAGAGGTACCAAAAATAGAAAATTTTTAGGGTGACAAAAATTCCGCTTAAGGTAAACACTTTAGACACTGTGTAGCTGGGAACCAGATATGTTTACACATGAGACACAGACCTCTGATCAACGATCTTAGAGGCAAATTTTCTCGTTAGGCCAACACAGATGTTCAAACACAGAGCCATTTATAATCTATACCCAAGTTTTAGGAATTCAAACTAAAAATCATGTGGGTTGGGATTAAAAAAAATCTCAACTAATGAGGTCTGTGCTCATCTGGATGGAATTACATATAAAATGTGGAGTGGGGAAAAGAAGAGGGGGAGGAGGAGAAACAGAAAGGAAAATAGATGGTGAGAAGAAGAAAGGAGGCGAAAAGGAAAAATGTGGGTGGGTGGGAGGGAAAGAAGGTACAAGTAGGTAAAAGAATGGATTGAAAACAACTGGGGAGGCTGGGTATAGAGGCTCATGCCTATCATCCCAGCACTTTAGGACACAGATGACTTGAAGTCAGAAGTTCCAAATCAGCCTGGGCAACATGGTGAAATCTCATCTCTACTGAAAATAGAAAATTAGCCGGGCATGGTGGTGCATGCCTGTAGTCCCAGCTACTCGGGAGGCTGACACAGAAGAATTGCTTAAACCTGGGAGGCAGAGGTTGAAGTGAGCTGAGATCAAGCCACTGCATTCTAGCCTGGGTGACAGAGGACAGAGCGAGACTGTCTCAAAAAAAAAAAAAAAAGTATTTCCAGTTCTAAATCACTGAGACTGTCTTCCACAATGGTGGAACTAATTTACATTCCCTCCAACAGTGTAAACGCATTCCTATTTCTCCATATCCTCACCAGCATCTATTGTTTTTTGACTTTAATAATCGCCATTCTGACAGGCATGAGATGGTATCTCACTGTGGTTTTGATCTGCATTTCTCTGACGATCAGTGGTGTTGAGCTTTTTTTCATGTTTGTTGGCCAAATGTACGTCTTCTTTTGAGAAATGTCTGTTCGTGTCCTTTGCCCACTCTTTTTTTTTTTTTGAGATGGAGTCTCACTCTGTCGCCCAGGCTGGAGTGCAGTGGCCGGATCTCAGCTCACTGCAAGCTCCACCTCCCGAGTTTATGCCATTCTCCTGCCTCAGCCTCCCGAGTAGCTGGGACTACAGGCGCCCGCCACCTCGCCCGGCTAGTTTTTTGTATTTTTTTTGGAGACACGGTTTCACCATGTTAGCCAGGATGGTCTCCATCTCCTGACCTCATGATCCGCCCGTCTCGGCCTCCCAAAGTGCTGGGATTACAGGCTTGAGCCACCGCGCCCGGCTCTTTGCCCACTTTTTAATGGGGTTACTTTTCTTGTAAATTTCCTTAAGTTCCTTGTAGATTCTGGGTATTAGACCTTTGTCAGATAGACAGATTGCAAAAATTTTCTCCCATTCTGTAGGTTGTCTGTCTGCTGATGACAGTTTCTTCTGCGGTACAGAGGCTCTTTAATTAGATCCCATTTGTCAATATTTGCTTTTGTTGCAATTGCTTTTGACGATTTCATCATAAAATTGTCATTTGGCCTAGCAGTCTCATTACTGGGTATATACCCAAAGGAATATTAATCATTCTACTATAAAGATACATGCATGTATATGTTAATTGCAGCACTATTCACAATAGCAAAGACATGGAATCAACCCAAAAGCCCATCCATGATAGACTAGATAAAGAAAATGTGGTACATATACACATGGAATACTATGCAGCCATAAAAAGAAATGAGATCCTATTCTTTGCAGGGACATGGATGGAGCTAGAAGCCATTATCCTCAGCAAAGTAATCCAGGAACAGAAAACTAAATACCACATGTTCTCACTTGTAAGTGGAAGCTAAACAATGAGAACACATGGACATAGGGAGGGGAATAACACACACTGGGCCTGTTGGGGGAAGGTGGGGGGTGGAGAGAACATCAGGAAAAATAGTTAATGCATGCCAGGCTTAACACATAGGTGATGGGTTGATAGGTGCAGCAAACTACCATGGCACACATTTACCTATATAACAAATCTGCACGTCCTGTACATGTACACCAGAACATAAAGTTAAAACACACACACACACACACACACAACTGGGGAGAGTAAATACAGGGATGGCTAAGAAAAGGGGGTTTATACTGCAAAGTATGAAAGCTGGGTAGCTAAAAATCCCAGAATTAAGCAGTAAAAACCATTTTAGATCCTTTATATCCTATGATATAACTAATATATTTTATGAATCCTCCAAATGAAATTTACTTGTATTTTTCTTTTGACAAAGATGAACAAGATTCTGTACTGTTGTTTCAGAGTTAGTCTCTTATTTACTGGTATTTTTACAAAAACCTTCCTAGAAGAATTAATGAGTTTATTATTTTAGAGAGTCTGTTCAGCTCTTTTGTACTAGCTTTAAGAGACAGATTTGTAAAATTATAATCTGTAGGTTAAGAACTAATACAAATAACCTTTAAATTTTTAGCCAACAGCTGAATATTTAAAATATTAAAATATCCTAGCAAATATAATTTCTTGTAAATAATATTCCTTCTTTCAAGGCAGTAAGTCAATAGGCCCTTAGCAAATTAAAACAGACTGCAATAGAAGCTCAACTTTATGATAATAAGAGACGAGACAGGACTTTCATTCCAACCCAATTAATGTTTATTTCCTTTTTAAAGTACATCTCTTGTAATCACAGTTGAGACTTGTATTGTTCTCCAGTCTAACAATGCTTTTCAATGGAGTGTTTGGACCACTTATATTTATTATCAGTGTGGTCAGGTTTAAATTGATTCTTTTGCCTTTTGTTCTCTATTAGTCTTGTTTGTTCTTTCTCTGCTGTTTTTTTCTCTTATTTTTTATTTTTTTCTGGCTTCTTAGATTGGGTATTTTAAAAATTTCGTTTATCTCCACTACTGGTTTTTTAGCTTTACTTCTATGTAAAAGAAAAAACTGTTGCTCTAGACATTACCATATATATCTCTAGCTTCAAACAACATGACACCACTCCACTTAAGAGCCTTATAACAGCATACTTTCAATCCTGTGACTATCTTTTGTACTACTGTTTTCATCTACTGACTTCTATGTACATTCTATAATAGTTTTATTCCTTTGTGTAGATCTGCTTTCTTTTTTTTTTTTTTTTTTTTTTTGAGACGGAGTCTTGCTCTGTCACCCAGGCTGGAGTGCAGTGGCCGGATCTCAGCTCACTGCAAGCTCCTCCTCTCGGGTTCACGCCATTCTCCTGCCTCAGCCTCCCGAGTAGCTGGGACTACAGGCACCCGCCACTTCGCCCGGCTAGTTTTTTGTATTTTTTTAGTAGAGACGGGGTTTCACTGTGTTAGCCAGGATGGTCTCGATCTCCTGACCTCGTGATCCGCCCGTCTCGGCCTCCCAAAGTGCTGGGATTACAGGCTTGAGCCACCGCGCCCGGCCCAGATCTGCTTTCTATCTGGTATCTTTTACTATCACTTGAAGAACTTCCTTTATTTCTGATAGCAAAGGTCTGCTGGCAACGCATTTTGTTGATCTGAAAAATTTTAATTTTGATTTATTCTTATTTTTGTAGAGATGGGGTTTCGTTATGTTGCCTAGGCTGGTCTCAAACTCCGGGCCTCAAGCCATCCTCCTGACCTCAAGCCATCCTCCTGACCTGACCTCCCAAAGTTGCTTTCATTTTTGAAAGATATTTTCTAGATAAAGAATTACAGGTTGATAGTTATTTTCCTCCAGCCTTTTAATGAAGTCATTCAATTGTCTTTTGGCTTGTGTTGTTCTAGCCTAGAAACCTGTGAATTCTCTGTTCTTTCACCCACATTGTATCTTCACTTTTCTCCTTATCACTGGATTTCAGGAACTTGACTATGATATGTCTTGGTATGACTTCTTTTGCGTTTATCCTGGAGTTTATTAAACATCTTGGATATGTGGGTTTATACTTCTCATTAAATTTGAATGAGACCTTGTAAGTGATCCCCAGCCCCATGATTGTATTTCACTTCTTTTTCCTTAAATCTGTGAAAGACACTGTTGTCACTCTCCCTCTACATTTTCATGTTATACCCCAGTTTCTGTCTCTCCATGCGTCCTCTCAGTAGCTATTGTTGTGGTTAGGGAAAAAAGTATGTACCACAGGAGAAAAGAAATTTGTAAAAGTCCCCAACATGCCACATGTCTTTCAGTGGGTTTATGAATAAACAAATTATGATGCATCCACACCACGGGCTACTCTTGCCAATAAAGAGGACCACACTACTGATACACAACAATGTGAATGACCCTCAGAATTATGCTGAGTGGAAGAAGTCAATCTCAGAAGAACACATATTGCATTACCTAATTTATATAAATTTGTGAAATAACAGTTATAGTACAGAACAGATTGGTGTTTGCCAGGGATTGGGGCAGAAACAAGGTGTGAGTATAAAGGGGTAGCATGAAGCAGCCTTGTGGCTACAGGTTCTGTACTTTGACTGTGATGGCAGTTACATGAATCTGCACATGTGCTAAAACTGCAGAGAGATATAAACATCTGCACACTAACATATTAAAACAAACTTCATAAGTAAACCCAGTGCATTGTGAGTTGTTACCCTTCCCTCCTTTTTACAAAAGAAAGATCTAAAAAATCATTTTACCTGTATTGCAGTTGGATAGGCCTTCTTTTGTCAAATCAATTATAAAATCAAGTTTCTTCTGTACAGCCTAAAAAAATTGTAAATAATAAAGCTTTGCCTCAATAGCTGAAAATGTTTTTAAAAACTTCAACATTTGGTAATTTTAAATGGTAATTTTAAATTACCATTCAGAAAAATTTGGTAATTTGAAATGGTAATTTCAAATTACCATTCAGAAACTAGAGATGGAACATCTCTAAGTCTCCTGTGGTTTAACTCTACTATTAAAAAGTTCTTGTAAAATACTATATGGTTTCTGAGAATAAGACTAAGGAGAACGTAAATGAATTTGGTAAATGAGTATCGTTATGAATTATGCTTATCATTAGCTGTCTGCTTTTCAATGTGTAAGCTGGACTAAAACTAAATCATCCAACATGTAGCAAACACTAAAGTTCCTAGAACTAACATGTTTAAATGAACAATATTCAGAGTTAGTATTTCTTACTTACCGTAACTTCAGCATTAGGAGAACTGCTAGAATTTCCTGATGTAGTTTTTCTGGTATCTGAAAGAAATGAGACATTTGACAAATTGATTACACAATATTTATGGGCTTTGTGAAATATGAATGCTAAAACAAAATAATGGGGATGCTAATTAGCTGTTAATTATATAGTGATAAAAAGTAACTCAATTGCCTTTACCTATTCCAAAGACTGAATGAATTTTTTTTTTAAAATGTAACTTTGGGTCAAGCCATTTTTTCTTTCTGTAACTTGGCAACTATATTAGTAACTCTTTCTTTGAAAATCCTTCTACCTAGAAATTTGCATGAGAAAATACAGTTGGAAATGCACGCACTTTTAATTCACAGTATCTTTAGACTACAACTGCCTGACATGGCTGAGAAGCGCCCTTCCTGGAACCAGTAGGAAGCCTAAGATAAATGATTAACATCCTTTGTAATTCTCTGATTCACAATCTTAACAACCCAAACTGTGGGGACAAGTAAGTAGCTATAAGTGGAGGCAAAGCTTTAAAATTATGATGCAAATACTCTAACATAGTAGAAAATGAAATGAAAATGGGGAATTTTGGATAAGAAATTATGAGCCAAACAAGATGGCTATTTTTGACAGAGAGAAAAATTTTTTTTTTGAGAAATGTTATCATTGGAAATGTAAGGTTAATTTTTTTTTTTTGAGACGGAGTCTTGCTCTGTTGCCCAGGCTGGAGAGCAGTAGCATGATCTCAGCTCACTGCAGTCTCTGCCTCCCAGGTTCAAGCAATTCTCCTGCCTCAGCCTCCCGAGTAGCTGGGATTACAGGTACATGCCACCACGCCTGGCTAATTTTTGTATTTTTAATACAGATGGGGTTTCACTTTGTTGGCCAGGCTGGTCTTGAACTCCTGACCTCAGGTGATCTGTCTGCCTCGGCCTCCCAAAATGCTGGGATTACAGGCATGAGCCACCACACCCAGACTGACAAGAAAAACTTTAAATCTTAAGTTGACTATAAGATAACTTAATAAATAAAAAATAAAAACACAAAAAACAAACCATCACTACCATCAACAAAAGGCCAGGGCAAACGATTAAAAATAAGTAGTTTTACAACCTATAAAGTCATTAAACATATAAAAGAAACAAAAAGGCCATAAACTGATAAAACAGAAGATTAAAATGAAATCTCAATTACATTAAGGAATCATTCATTTAGGTAATATTAACCATGATATAAGTTAGAACATTTGAGAGTACATTTAAATTTTTCATTTTATTAAAAGATATTATTCAATTTTTCACTTTTAAGCAAACATTGATTTAAGGCCTTCTAACTTGATAGATCATATTCTAATCAGCTATAAGATACCTGTTGGATTTGATGTAATTGGAGTTGTCAAATTAGGCCTTTCCACAGAAATCAACATAACATCATCATTGTTACTAAAATGATAAAAAGAAATTAAAAACAAAAACTAAACATGCATTATCAGGCTTAAACATGCAATTAGTGGTTAGGAGTCCTCTAACTTAACATTTCATAATGTTTTAATTGAACAATCGTGGGGGCAAATAGAAATGATAAAACCAAATACCCAAAAAAACTCCATTTATTACCAATTCAGTTATATGACCAAAGGTTCATCAAAATCCAGTAATTAGATCCCTACCACGTTTTATGGGTCCTTCACAATGACTCAAAATACATATAAATATACAATGGACATAAATGTATAAAACATGCAAATTCATTTGAGCATATATACTTCTATAAAAATGAAACATCATTTAATGATGGAAATCTATTAAGACCCATAAAGACACCTGGACTCCTAAAGGTAGAAAACTATAACAAAGAAAATTATTTTAAAAAGAACTGCTCCTGTATCTCTTCAGTAGCAATATTGACCACAAATTGAAGCAATGATGATAAATGATGCTGATTATGGTTATAGAATATTTCAAGCCATTTTGACCCTGTTCTTTTATGAGTGACTTTTTTGTTTTTTTGAGATGGAGTTTTGCTCTTGTCCCCCAGGCTGAAGCGCAATGGCGCAATCTTGGGCTCACTGAAACCTCTGCCTCCTGGGTTCAAGTGACTCTCCTGCCTCAGCCTCTTGAGTAGCTGGGATTATAGGCATATGCCACCACGCCCGGCTTTTATATTTTTAGTAGAGACAGGGTTTCACCATGTTGGTCAGGCTGCTCTTGAACTCCTGACCTCAGGTGATCCGCCCACCTTGGCCTCCCCAAGTGGTGGGATTACAGGCGTGAGCCACCGTGCCCAGTCCAATTATACCATTTTCTTGCAGACATCTTATATTTTTACTATTTGTACTTAGGTGTATGATCCATTTTGAGTTAATTTTTGTTTATGGTATGAAGTAAGAGCTGAGGTTCACTTTTCCCTCTATTCCAGCAACATTTGTTGAAAAGAACATCTTTTCCTGTTAAACTACGTTGGTACCTTTGTCGTAAACCAATGAACTGCATGTGTACTCTCTAGTGTGCCCATTGGTCAACATGCCTATCTCTATGCCAACAACACTGTCTTAATACTACAGCTTTATAGTTAAGTCTTGAACAAAGATAGTGTAGTCTTCTAACTTTATTCTTTCCCAACATTGTTTTCATCTTCTAGGTCTCTGCATTTTCAATGTATATAAAATTTTTTAAGAGACAAACTCTTGCTCTGTATCCCAGGCTGGAGTGCAGTGGTGCAAATGTATCTTGCTGAAGCCTAGACCTCCTGGGCTCAAAGGATCCTCTCACCTCGGCCTCCTAAGTAGCTGGGAAGACAGCATGTGTCACCAGGCCTGGCTAACTTTAAACAAAAAAAAATTTTTTTAATGTTTTTTATGTTGGCCAGGCTGGTTTTGAACTCCTGACCTCAAGTGATCCTCCTGCCCTGACCTCCCAAGGTTCTGGGATTATAGGTGTTAAGCCATCACACCTGGCCTTAAGTTTTTAACTAGTTTGTTACTTTCTACAAAAATGGCTGAGGCATTGATAGATATACAATTTGGGGTGAAGTAACATCTTAATGAATTCATGAAAGTTGCATATATATCTCACCACTTATTCAGGTCTCCTTTAATTTCTTCAGTAATACCTTGTAGTTTTAGGTTAGGTAGTTTTGGTTTATTCCTAAATATATTATGATCTCTGAAGTTATTGTAAATGGTATCCATTTTAAATTTCAAATTCCAATTGTTTCTTGCTTGTATGTGTGTATATATATAATTTCTAAACTATATATTGTACATATATAGGATGTAGTGTTTCCATACAGTGTGTGTGTATACACTATTTTAGAAACAAAAATATTTTCTATTTGCCTACATATTTACAATGTCTGTCAGTCTATATTACTTTGTACAGATCCAAATTTCTATTTAATACTATTTTCCTTTTGCCTGAAAAATCTCCAAAATTTCTTGTAGTGTAGGTCTGTTGATGTATTCTTCTCACCTTTTTTTGGCTTAAAAAATCTGTTTTCCCCCTACACTTTGGAAACATATTTTCACTGCATATAGAATTCTGAATGGATTTTTTTTTTTTTTTTTTTTAACCTTTCAATACTTTAGAAGTATCTATGATCTCAATTTTAGAGATGTCTTCAGCTTACAGCATGAAGTCTGGTGCCATTCTACTTTTTGTTCCTTTTTTTTTTTTTTTGAGATGGTGTTTCGCTCTTGTTGCCCAGGCCGGAGTGCAGTGGCACGATCTCGGCTCACCACAACCTCTGCCTCCTGGATTCAAACTGATTCTCCTGCCTCAGCCTCCTGAATAGCTGGGATTACAGGCATGCGCCACAATGCCAGGCTAATTTTGTATTTTTAGCAGAGATGTAGTTTCTCCATGTTGGTCAGACTTTCTGTTCCTTTCTATGTGATGTGTCTTTTGTGAGGCTACTTTTAAAAATGTTCCCTTCCTCACTGACTTTCAGCAATCTGATGATGTGGTTTTGTATGCTTTTATGTTTCTTCTGCTTGAATTTAAGTTTTTTTTCATTTATGGATTGAGAGTTTGCATCAACTATGGAAAATTTTCAGACATTGTATCTTCAAACATTTGCTCAGCCCCTGCCTTAGTGATACTCCAATAATATGTGTATTAGACTCCTTGATACTGTTCCATAGGTCTCTGATGCTCTGTTCATTGTTTTTTCGGTCTTTTTCCTCTCCATGCTTTAGGCTGAACATTTTCTATACCTATTTCACTGATATATTGGCAATAGCTCTTCTATGTCATCTGCTAAGTCCAAATTATTTCTAGGTAGATCACTTCATTCTTCTCCTTGTTAATGGGCCATTTTTTTTTTTTACTATGTTGCATGCCTGGGAATTTCTCATTAGATGTCAGACACTGTAAAATTTATGCTGTTGGGTAATGGATGTTGTTCCATTCCTTCAAAAGAGTGTTAGACTTTGTTCTGGCATGCAATTAAATTACTTAGGATTACCCTGATTCCTTTGAAGCTTGATTTTGGCTTTTCTTTGTATAGATTCTTTGCAATCTCTGGGACTAATTGAGCCCCACTAAAGCCATCCCCATCTGTGGACCCTACCTGTTACTTCTGATTACAAATTTTCTTCATTTTAGGCAAGGGGAAAGCAAAATGTTCCCAATCCTCCTAGCCAGAGGGAAAAGAAGATGTATGACTTCTAGGAATCAATCATTTGGCCTTCTTTCCAATAGTTCTTTCCCCAGGCTCTCGTAGTTTCATCTTTTGCATGCAGATCTGTATTCAGCCAATATTTCAAGGACCCTTTGCAGATCTTCAGAGCTCTATCTAAATTTTTTTCTCTTCACTGTTCCACCTCATAACTTCTAGCCAACTCAGACTCTCCAATCTCTGACCTAAACTCAGCAAGACCACAAGGCTCTGTTTGGAATCCCTCCTCCATCCCTGCTCTTGACCTGGAAAATGCCTCCAGGCAGTAAGCTGGGACAATGGTAGAGTTCATTTCATTCGTTTTACCAGTCATGATCCTGAACTCCTGGTTGAACAGTATCTGAAAACAATTTTTTTTTTAGCCCGATTTGCCTTGTTTACAGGAAAATGTCAGTTCCTGTAGCTGTTGACTGCACGGGGAGAGACAAGAATCATGTTCATTTTTCAGTTCATGCTCAACAGTTTTCCATGCAGATTTAAAAAAACACAAATTCAACAACTTTTTAAATATCACATTTCTCAGTGGGACTCTAACATTTGCCATTATTTCTAACTAAGAAACACAAATATTTAAATCTAAATTTTATTAAGAATATTTGATTTGGGCCAGGCGCGGTGGCTCAGCCTGTAATCCCAGCACTTTGGGAGGTGGAGGTGGGAGGATCACCTGAGGTCAGGAGGTCGAGACCAGCCTGACCAACATGGAGAAACCTCGTCTCTACTAAAAAATACAGAATTAGTTGGGCGTGGTGGCACAGGCCTTTAATCTCAGCTACTTGGGAGGCTGAGGCAGGAGAATCGCTTAAACCTGGGAGGCAGAGGTTGTGGTGAGCCGAGATCGTGACATTACACTCTAGCCTGGGCAACTAGAGCAAAACTCCATCTCAAAAAAAAAAAAGAATATTTGATTTTTGGCTGGGTGCCATGGCTCACGCCTGTAATCCCAGCACTTTGAGGGGTTGAGGTGGTTGGATCACCTGAGGTCAGGAGCTCGAGACCTGCCTGGACAACATGGCAAAACCCCGTCTCTGCTAAAAATACAAAAAATTACCAGGCGTGGTGGGAGCTCTACTCAGGAGGCTGAGGCAGGAGAATTGCTTGAACCCGTGAGGCACAGGTTGCAGTGAGCCAAGATTACACCACTGCACTCCAGCCTGGGTGACAGAGAGGGAATCCATCTCAAAAAAGAAAAAAAAAAGAATATTTGATTTTCTATCCACTTTTACCCTCTAAATTGTCAAATTTCTTTTATATATATTTTTGTCATCTAGTAATAGTCATAAATTGGATGAAAGACTGATAGCTGTATTTTTCGTTGCTAATCTGTAAGAAAATTTTAAGTAATTCTTCTCAGATGTTCATTATATGACAGTCAAAATACTTCATCAATCTCAAAATCCTTCACTTAATTTTTCTTTGGTTGAAGCTACAGTACTTCCAATTAATGCTATTTGAGAGTATAAGAAACTGAGCAAAAAGTCTTTAAAAAGGAAGAATTTTTGGCAGTCTCACTATATTTACGAGGTAAATAATAATATTTGGGACCCACCAAGGTGAAGGAGCCCTGGCAAACAGTCCAAACTTTCAGATGAGATCCATGGTAGGCTATGTCTTAGAGACCAGAATGAACTAGAGGTAGAAGGAGCCTTACCAAGATTACTACAAGGCTTGTGATACCATTCCCTGAGTAGATTAGGTGATCAGACCCCTACTCTATTTGGCAAGCAGAGGATTAGCCTTGTCTTATGGCAAGACATCACTTAGA